GGAAAAAAGGAGAGTGAAACAGAGCTCACCCTGTGAAAGAAAGGGAACAAGACGACCTTCAGTTTGTTCCTCACATACTGGCTGTTGACTTGAAAATAGTATTGAGGGTCGGACAAATATTGAGTAATCTGACACAATCAAGTGAGGTTAGCTTGGCAGGTTTCAAAAATATTATCCACAAAAGAGAGTTGAATAAAGTTGAAGACATACATTGCTCTGCATGAACTCAGAACTCGAACCAAGAAATTTCTCTCCATATGCTCCAAGTCCAGTACGGATAAGTCCAGGTCCAGCACCATACATGGCACTTTCAAAAGGATTTGGTGGTGCATTTGCAGGCCTAGGACCTAAGCCACCCAGATCACTATTCATTGCTGCCATGATAATAACTGAGCAGACAGTCAGAAAACAATGTATTCAGAACAGTATAACAAAAGAAAACTGTGCTCGAAAGTATTTTGCGATAAGTTGAAGTCAAGAATCATAAGATGGTCTCAATCCAATTGATGATCAACAAACAGTAATCAAAATTCGAAAGTAATACTAAGTTCATTATGATCCCAACTCCCAAGTCAAGAGAAGGAAAGAACAGCAGAAACGAATCATAGCTCAATGAATTTCATGACATAACACCCATCCTTCCAAGATGAAGTGGTGATGCTAACGACAATGTGTCATAAAACTACTTTGACGGAGATAAAAGGAAAGACAGGTGATCCACATCAGCACATCTCATTTTGGCTGGTGGAGCCTGTTGCCTTAGTTTAACAACTAACATTCCGCAGTAATATGACGGCCTAACAGGAAGTATTGTCCGTTAAGACTTTTCTTGGTCAAAGAAAAACGCATCAGGTTATCATTTCACTGATCTGTGGTCATTCCATAATCTTTGCAACAACAACAAAGTCTTTAGTCCAAACAAGTTGGGGTAGGCCAGAGCTGAAACCCAAAACACCTCAACCAACTCATGGTTCTGGCACATCAAGCTTCCATTAGCTGGATAAATAAATTTTATCCAAGCAAGACAACTCGTACAATACAAGTATCTCAGAACAATCCAAGCAAGATAGGGTTCATCGCAGACAGGTGTGGATCTAATGGTGCGCCGGGGCGTGCACCAGCGCAAACACCCAAAATTTGTGGAGGTTAGTTTGGGTTTACCTCAGGAACCAATGCCGTCCAAGATCGCGGACGGGGTGGGGGGCGGCAGGGGGGGCGATGAGGTGGAACGGGGACGGCGACGGCGGTGACGCGCGTGAGAGGCGGAGTGTTGGGGGTGGCTGGTGAGGCGTCGGTGGTGTCGTAGGATGCGGCACGGCGGAAACTGTAGGGCACGGCGGTGGTAGACTACTCTGGGTCTAGAGCCGCGTTCGCCGTTGGGTCAGATTGGAGCTTGGGGAAAAGGGATCTTTTTTTTTAACGCAGTACAACGCAAATCTGATAGTACATATGCATGTACACTCATCTTATGAACATAAAAACGATAAGCACATCTGAGAGACTGAGCCATAACATATTATATTGAGATTAATGAATGGCGACTGCTAGACGCCGGTTGGCCCCCATCCATCCGATGCGATCTCCAGGTATCGTTGGATCTGACTCAACGCATCTTTCCTCCCTAGCGTATCCCTTCCGTACGACAAATCACAGAGGAAACATGGCTACCGCGCGCTTGCCGGCCACCCCGGGCTCACCGTCGCCATGGAAGAAGACGCCTTGCTGGTTGCAAATGCCTCCATTTGTCGTCGCAGCAGCAAACATCAAGGATGGTTGTAACAAAAATTCTCGCAGACCCTTGGTTGTATCTCGTCGAACCATGGACGGCGATCGCACCACTGCCAGTTGCAGCACCAAATGGCAGACGACGGCATGGCTGACAGCCAAAAAAGGCGGTGGTAGCATTTTTTGGAGAGGATTCCAGCAAAAACCAAATCCGGTGGAAGCTTTTGGGCGGTTCCTTACAGCAAACCCAAAAAGGCGATGGTAGCAAATTTGGGTGTCGGTTCCAGCAAACTCCAAAACGGTTGTAGCAACGAAAAGGCATCGCCGCCGTCGACCAGCACCGTTGTGCATGTATGTAGCAAAAAAAGTCACCGGTGGCAGTAAAAACAGGCTACGGCTGTAAAAAAAACGTCGCTGGTCCGGCAGGACGAACTCCGGTAGTAGCATTCCTGAACAAAATGCTACAACCAGCGATTTTAAAGGCCGGAACCAGATTTCAGGAAAAAGATGCAAAAGAAATAGATTTTTTGAAGAAAAAGCTTGAACGGAGTGATTTAAAAAAGATGCAACCAGTTGGCATAAAAAGTCGGGCAGGTCTCCCACTGCCATGCCTGCTGCGCGGGGGAGGGGAGGAGGGTCGTCGGAGTTGCAAAATAAGGCCATGCCCAACGTGAGCTCGTGTTTTTTTGGTGGCTTTGGAGGTGCTCGCAGCAGCGGGCTTGGAGTTGTTCCGCGACAGCAAACTCATAGCCGGTGGAGCGGGCAAGGCCATGGCTACTGCGGGGGAAGAGAGACAGAGAGGAGATGTGAGATTGGGAAGGGAGAGAAATAGAGAAGGGAGAGGATAGTTGAGTGCATGAATGGATAAGAAGGGAAGGGGGAAAGCTGCGTGGGTCCCGCGAGACACATCCTGGTGAGAGGAGCAGGGAGTGTTCGATCTCTTCTATGTACATGCCGCATGCGACCGGCCCAATCTTCGGCCGGCGCACCGGCCACAAACGTTTCCCTTGACGAATTCGCCATAAAAGTCTTTCTAATCGACGGGAGCGTCTCCTCCCACTGAACGCATATCGCTAGAATGCCTGAAATAAGTTCAGTAGAATGCAAGCATCAATGTTAAGTCTAAGACTTGAACTCTGGTGGATGTGATACTACTGTCCTCATAACCATCCAACTACATGTTGATTCACAAGGGATCTTTTCTTTTAAGAGGTATAATTATGCTTCTGGTACAAGAACTTAGCGGGTGGGTTCACTTTCATACAAAAGCTTATAAAACCTAGAACAGAGGTACAATAACTTGGCATGGATATGGGCTTGAGATACAAATTGCTTCTGTGCTGACAAATGAACGCCAACGAGGCAAAGTGCTAGCTTATCAGATTCTTTGCAAAATAGCCCCTACAAATCTATGAAATTTTGTCCATGGGGCCCTTGAGCACCGTAGACATCTACTTTTGGTTAATGAAGCCGACCTAATCTGAGCCATCTCACGCGCTTAGCATTTATGGCCATCCATTTTTTTATTTTGGGTGTTTCTGACCATTAGATCTACTGTCCTAAGAGGTTGTTGCTCCATGAGAAAAAACAAAACATTCTGGTTAACTTAGTCACCTCTGTCAGGACATTTATCTAACCGAGCATGGTCCAAGAGAAAAAAAATTGTCCACTCGATCAATGGACGGTCGATATAACCATCAAAAAATTATGCATCTCACGCGATGCATCCACACGTGGCTGATCTTGATCTCCTCCACCTGTTGGAGTCCGACATCAACAGCGGCACTGCTACAAGAGGACCCAACGGCTGAGCCAACTCCACTCCGCCCCTGCGACGCTGCCTCATCGTGCGCCTCGACGAGTGTAGGTCACACTTCCAATGCTCAACTCCCGGGACGTGATACATCCCAAACGTATCTATAATTTTTGATTGTTTCATGCTATTATATTATTATTTTAATATTTTTATAGGACTAAGCTACTAATTTAGTGCCCAGTGTCAGTTCCTATTTTCTGCTTGTTTTTGGTTTCACAAGCGGAGGTCAAAATAAATTGTCTATTTAACAAGACTTTTTTGGGTGACAAGAAACGCATGAAGCTTTGGTAGAGATCAAGACGAGCCTTGAGGGGCCCATAAGGACAGGTGGCGCGGCCAGGGGTTGGTCGCGCCCCTTGAGTTTGTGGGCCCCTCAGTTACCGCCTTAGTCTAATTGCACCGCCATAATTCTCTATAAATAGAAACCATCTGTCGTGCATCCAAAAATTTTATCGCTGCCGCAAGCCTCTGCTCCAAAGAGATCTCATCTGGAGCCCTATTGCAAAATCCCACTAGAGGGGGAAGCCATTGCCGAAGGCCTCTTCATCGACCTTGTTGCCTCCATGACCATGTATTACTAGTTACTTTAGGACCTATGGGTCCATAGTAGTAGCTAGATGGTTCCGTCTCTCTTTTGGATCTTCAATACCATGTTCTCGTTCTTGATCGAGATCAATTTAATGTAAACAGTGGTGTTTTGTTGGGACATGATGAATTGTCACTTTGTGATTAGATTGTTCATTAAAATCAACTGAATCTATTTTAGTTTTCATGCTACATAATTAATAGATTTGTATTTCTCTTTGATCTATCTATCTTCTTTGGCCAAGTTCAATCGATTTATCTTCAGTGTAAGAGGTGCTTTGTAGTGGGTTCAATCTTGTGGTGCTCTAACCCAGTCTATACTACTATTAAACAATCAAACATTTTCTTTTTTAAGGCCATCCCATTATGTGTATCCAGGCTAATTTGTGCCGCCAGATTGTCCCACCTAATGAGATCTAATGACCTAAATACATCTGACCGGGGGTCACAATTGCATGTAGCAATTACTGTTGGCTGACCATGCTTCACCGAGCGGACGAAATTTCCCACGCCCGATCTGGATCAGGCCCCCACACAGCCACCGCTCCGCTAATCTCGCCCGTATATTCCGTAATCTCTCCCATATCCGTTCGCCCTCCAAGAAAACGTTGCCGTCGCTCCCACGCGTAGCACCTGTCCTCCTTCCACCTTCCCCTTCCACCCATCTGGCCTTCCCGCTCGCCTCTTCCCCGCTCCCCACGCGTCTCCTCTGGTGGCCGCCTTCGGCGAGTGGAGTCTGTTCCTCACTGGCTCGCTGCATTCTTCCTCTGCGAGGTGTTAGTGTGGGGATGGGATCTGACAGGATCGGGACGAGGAGGCGGCTGTGAAGTACACGTTCTGGAGCTGCGCGTGGATGCGCTCATTGCCGAGGCCGATGCCGCTCTTTCTGGAGGCCGACACCGCTCTTTCTAGAAGAAATCCCTCGGTGTCAAGCGGGGTGACGTGGACACCTACGTCCTTCATGTTTGGGCGCTGGAGGGCGACGGGAGGCATCGATTCGCCGTTTGGCTCCTGCACTAGGGGACTGCGGCTGCTACAAAAGATGCAGCAATTGGAAGATGCACAGGTCAGCAACGCCTCCTCCCCCTCGCACAGTTCCTCTGGACCTGTAGGTAACTGCTTGCACGCTTTGTAATATGGCATCGTGTATGTGAATATGTGATATACTGATGTTGCAAGTGAGACTATTCCAATTAACTTGTAGATTTCATGCATCCCATAAAGCCATAACTCTTTCCTGCAATCTAGCTCACAGTAGCAAATTTCTGACTTCGCTTCTAACCTAATTGCCTTGAATTCGTGTACATAATTATATTATGACAGAAATTTAAGTATTGTCTCGATTAGATTTGCCGCATGGGTACCTGTTTTTCTCCATTAAAATACCTCATGTAATGCTACGTTCCACATTTTCTGCATAACGGTAAGTTCATATATATTTCTACTGAAGCGTGCAGCCATATCTTCCAATTTTGCTTCAATATGTTCTCCCATATGCACGACAATTGGGCCTCTTTTTGTCAATGTGGGGAGCAGGCTTTCATAATGAACTGTGTGATTAATGATAGTCCTCACCCTACAGTACTTGGTGAGATGCCACTAAGTCAATCTGCTATCTCAGGTTATATTGGATGCTAATTTATTTTACAATACTACTACATCTTTCTTGAATCAGATTCGGACTGTTTCTGTGCAATTTTGTTCTATAGCTATTTTTGGGTGGCTTTCTTTGTTTTGCTTTATGTTGTATATAATCAGTAGAAAACTCAAGCCCCATCATCTGACATTTCTGTAGTAACGACTGAAACTATTCGAGGACAAATCTTGGATTGTTGTTGTCGTTGGAATTTAGAGTTGCATGGTTGGCATGGTCAACATGGCAAAGAAAGTATAGAAGATTTGCCAAACCAAGTATGGGCTTGTAGAGTACCTCAGGTAATCAGATTCTGCACCCAAATTTAATTTTACTTGCTTTTAAATGCTTCTAGGGCAGATGATGTCGATATGCTAGATTGTGTTGTAGTTTATGCTTGTCTGGTTATGTATATTTTCTTCCAGAGTGTCACATTTCCTTTTTGAGAAATTCTAATGGTGTAGGCTGAGCATGGACGTTTGTGCTGTTGTGTGTGTTGAGGTCAATCTTAGTTTGGAACACAATAGAGCAATGGTGATCAGCTCATTCTAGCTTTAAATGAAAACAATTTAAAAATTAGTTTGTCAATAGTCACTAGATACAAATATAGTCCCTCTGTTTCTAAATATGAGTATGGACTACATACGGATATCAATAGTCACTAGATACAAATATACTCGCTAAATTCACTCATTTCGCTTCGTATGTAGTTCATATTGAAATCTCTAAAAAGACTTATATTAAGGAACATAGGGAGTACTACATTGGGCCCTTTGTTTCAAAAGTTGTTTCTTATCACGTATAGAGGTTCAGTACAGTTTGAAGCTGACAAGATCCATATAACTTGCACTGCTTGATGTTCATGTCAAGCCACACTTACTGTTATCACTAAACTGAAAAAATGTCAACTTCCTAATTAAATTTGCTAAAATGTTGTAAAACTGAAGCTCTCTGCAGGTATTATATTTCCTGCTCAATATGCTCATGTATAAAACATTTTTCTCGGCGTGTGAGCAAACTCTGACGGACAATATGCTGATTAACTTTGTTCTAAACTGTTGAATCGCCATAAGGGAGATAGTAGTGTAGTACGGAGGAAATAATCCTCGAATTTTGTTTGCAAGGCATGTACTGATGTCATTAATTTGGCATGCAAAGTGTTGCTAAAAATTAATGCAACTATTATTTTCTTGCAGTAAAAGATTATTGTTTGTAACATAATTTATATATTTTTCAATTAGAAAATATCATATAGCCAATTATTTTTGTCCTTCGTAAACACAAAGAATGATGATTTATAGCATCAGTAGAGTGTGTAGGCAATTTTGACTGTGGTACGTGAGGTCATGTACTTTGTTATCACTAGAAAATTTATGTACCTGTGCTGCTGGCCACTTTTTTTAGACGCGGTAATTAACCTTTGAAGTGTATACATGGTATCAAATATATCGAGATTAACATTAGTTTCCCCTGTTGAAGCTTGTGCAATTGGATTTATGTTGGTCAAGAACTGGTCAACGATAAAGGAGAACAAGCATTGTATTTTGTATTACTATTCTATACAAACTTTCTTCCCACACCATTATGTAATCTTTCCCTTTTGAGGTTGCAGTATGATCTCTGCTAACCAGATTTTATATATGATCACTGCTAAATTACAACATAATGCCAAATGTACAAGTATCCTTTGCAGAATTCGAATGCCCATCGATATCTTATTACATATATGAGTACCGGCGTTGTGAATCTATTTGTTTCTGTTGCATATGTAAATGTGAATGGTAACATGTGAGATTTGCGATCAGCTAATCCTAGAAAAAATAGCAAGCAGATCAGAGATATTGAGTACCGTATTTAATTTGTCAAACTATCAACTTTGATCTATCCTAGGAGAAAGTAGCAAGCAGATCAGACATGTTGACATGGGACATCAGGATCCCGTAAGTAAAATGGTATCACAAACTTCACTTACTAGCTCGTCCAACAATGCCCATCTCGTGCTGGCACAGCAAAGGGAACGTTAACACCATGACACGCTCCATAACTTTAGCCTCATTGTGAGAAAGCTGACGTACTGGCATGGTGCCCTAAGCGTGGAATGCTTATACTCCATCTACTAATGCCGCTCTTGCATCAAATCCATCATCGGCCACCACTTGTGGAAAATGCACCGGACGTCAAGAGATGGTCTTTTCCCTTTTCCTGCCTCTTGAATATCAATGGTCGCCTCTCTTCCTTTCATCATCTATTGGTTTTTGCTCTCCTCTCTTCTCTTCCTTCTGCTCTGGATCCGTAGATTTCATTCAACATTGCCATCACTTTGGATCGTGACTTACTCGAGCGAGCTTAGTGACTTGCCCAAGAGTGCCTTGAGCCCGACTTTAATCTGACAATCCACTTGGAAAATGTGATATGTGATGCTAATAATTGAAATTAGTGAGTTTCTTTCCCGATTTGGTGATTACATGAACAGGATTCAGGTCAAACTACCCCTACAAGTGCAGGGATTAAGGCAAAATTTACAAAAAAGAAACATGGTATCATACGTGCGTTGCACGTGCACACTTACTAGTGACAATAAGGGCCAGGACATGTATTGTATTGTTGCCACTAAGGAATAAACGACGGGGTTTAGTCGTATTGATTGACTTCTTGTTGTCTACATTATGTCATCTTGCTTATTGCAATACTCTGTTTCTCATAAACTTAATACCTTGAGATGCATGCTGGATAACGGGTTTGGGTGATGTATAAGTAGTAGACTCAGTAGGTTTAACGGTCTACTTATCACGGACGTATGCCTCTATGAGATTATGTCATGAATGATCATATTTATAAATATTACAATCTTTTTAATTGCTTGCAACACCCCAATAAACATGCTACAGTAATTCCAACCTAATGATGCCATGTCACCATGTTTGCTAAGCTAAATTTCCGGTCGATAAAAATAAAAGTCAAATTATTATTTCTTCAAACTGTAAAACTAAATTGTTCGCATTATTATATAAATTCCCTTGATCATTTGTCATGTTTATCATTTGACTCACCAATAAATCCCTAGTAAATATAAAGTGGTCCAACAATAACAACAAAAATAACCATTTCAAAATAAATAAATGTTTATGTATTTCCAATTGACTTGAAATGTTGTGGGATTCTTCAATATGCAGCCTAGTATTTATGTGACAAGTTTTGTAATCAACAAAATTTATTTTGGTATTAAATTAGAAATGCAAAAACTGAGACAAAAAATAGAAAGCAGAAAAGAAAGAAAAAGACAGAGACAACACTGTGCACTTATGGCTACAGTACATGGCCCAGCCCACCCCGTGTCCATCTCCTACCTCCTATACACGAGAGGGGATCGTGGCACACATCCACGGTGTTGGGGAACACGGTAATTTCAAAAATTTCCTACAGACACGCAAGATCCATCTAGGTGATGCATAGAAACGAGCGGGAGAGTGTGTCCACGTACCCTCATAGACCGAAAGCGGAAGCGTTTAGCAACGCGGTTGATGTAGTCGATTGTCTTCGTGATCCAACCGATCCAAGTACTGAACACATGGCACCTCCGCGATCTGCACACGTTCAGCTCGGTGACGTCCCTTGTACTCTTGATCCAGCTGAGGCCGAGGGAGAGTTTCATCAGCACGACGGCGTAATGATGGTGATAATGAAGTTACCGACGCAGGGCTTCGCCTAAGCACTACAACGATATGACCGAGGTGGAAATCCGTGGAGGGGGCACCGCACACGACTAAGGCAACTGTCAACTTGTGTGTCTATGGGGTGCCCCCTCCCTCGTATATAAAGGAGGGGAGGAGGGGAGGGTCGGCCCTCTCTATGGCGCGCCCAAGGGAGAGTCCTACTCCTAGTAGGAGTAGGTTTCCCCCTTCCCTAGTTGGAGTAGGAGAAGAAGGAAGAGGAAGAGAAAGGGAAGGAAAGGGGGGGGGGCGGCCCCCACCCAATTCGGATTGGGCTTGGGGGCACCCTCCACCTGGTCGCCTCCTCCTCTCTCCCACTAAGGCCCAATAAGGCCCATTGACTCCTCGGGGGGTTCCGATAACCCCCCGGTACTCCGGTAAATGCCCGAACTCATCCAGAACCATTCCGATGTCCAAACATAGCCTTCCAATATATCGATCTTTATCTCTCGACCATTTTGAGACTCCTCATCATGTCCGTGATCACATCCGGGACTCCGAAATACCTTCGGTACATCAAAACACATAAACTCATAATATTGATCATCATCGAACGTTAATCGTGTGGACCGTACGGGTTCGAGAACTATGTAGACATGATCGAGATTCACTTCCGGTGAATAACCAATAGCGGAACCTAGATGCTCATATTGGTTCCTACATATTCTACGAAGATCTTTATCGGTCAAATCGCATAACAACATACGTTGTTCCCTTTGTCATCGGTATGTTACTTGCCCGAGATTCGACCGTCAGTATCTCAATACCTAGTTCAATCTCGTTACCGGTAAGTCTCTTTACTCATTTCGTAATGCATCATCCCGCAACTAACTCATTAGTCACATTGCTTGTAAGGCTTATAGTGATGTGCATTACCGAGAGGGCCCAGAGATACCTCTCCGACAATCGGAGTGACAAATCCTAATCTCAATCTATGCCAACTCAACAAACACCATCGGAGACACCTGTAGAGCATCTTTATAATCACCCAGTTACGTTGTGACGTTTGATAGCACACTAAGTGTTCCTCCGGTATCCAGGAGTTGCATAATCTCATAGTCATAGGAACATGTATAAGTTATGAAGAAAGCAATAGCAATAAACTAAACGATCATAGTGCTAAGCTAACGGATGGGTCAAGTCAATCACATCACTCTCTAATAATGTGATTCCGTTCATCAAATGACAACTCTTGTCCATGGCTAGGAAACTAAACCATCTTTGATTAACGAGCTAGTCAAGTAGAGGCATACTAGTGGCACTCTGTTTGTCTATGTATTCACACATGTATTAAGTTTCCGGTTAATACAATTCTAGCATGAATAATAAAAATGTATCATGATATAAGGAAATATAAATAACAACTTTATTATTGCCTCTAGGGCATATTTCCTTCAGTCTCCCACTTGCACTAGAGTCAATAATCCAGATTACACTGTAATGATTCTAACACCCATGGAGTCTTGGTGTTGATCATGTTTTGCTCATGAGAGAGAGGCTTAGTCAACGGGTCTGCAACATTCAGATCTGTATGTATCTTGCAAATCTCTATGTCTCCCTCCTTGACTTGGTCGCGGATGGAATTGAAGCGTCTCTTGATGTGCTTGGTTCTCTTGTGAAATCTGGATTCCTTTGGCAGGGAAATTGCACCAGTATTGTCACAAAAGATTTTCATTGGACCCGATGCACTAGGTATGACACCTAGATCTGATATGAACTCCTTCATCCAGACTCCT